AGGCGTGCCATCAAAAGGCGTGCCATCAAAAGGCGTGCCATCAAAAGGCGTGCCATCAAAAGGCGTGCCATCAAAAGGCGTGCCATCAAAAGGCGTGCCATCAAAAGGCGTGCCATCAAAAGGCGTGCCATCAAAAGGCGTGCCATCAAAAGGCGTGCCATCAAAAGGCGTGCCATCAAAAGGCGTGCCATCAAAAGGCGTGCCATCAAAAGGCGTGCCATCAAAAGGCGTGCCATCAAAAGGCGTGCCATCAAAAGGCGTGCCATCAAAAGGCGTGCCATCAAAAGGCGTGCCATCAAAAGGCGTGCCATCAAAAGGCGTGCCATCAAAAGGCGTGCCATCAAAAGGCGTGCCATCAAAAGGCGTGCCATCAAAAGGCGTGCCATCAAAAGGCGTGCCATCAAAAGGCGTGCCATCAAAAGGCGTGCCATCAAAAGGCGTGCCATCAAAAGGCGTGCCATCAAAAGGCGTGCCATCAAAAGGCGTGCCATCAAAAGGCGTGCCATCAAAAGGCGTGCCATCAAAAGGCGTGCCATCAAAAGGCGTGCCATCAAAAGGCGTGCCATCAAAAGGCGTGCCATCAAAAGGCGTGCCATCAAAAGGCGTGCCATCAAAAGGCGTGCCATCAAAAGGCGTGCCATCAAAAGGCGTGCCATCAAAAGGCGTGCCATCAAAAGGCGTGCCATCAAAAGGCGTGCCATCAAAAGGCGTGCCATCAAAAGGCGTGCCATCAAAAGGCGTGCCATCAAAAGGCGTGCCATCAAAAGGCGTGCCATCAAAAGGCGTGCCATCAAAAGGCGTGCCATCAAAAGGCGTGCCATCAAAAGGCGTGCCATCAAAAGGCGTGCCATCAAAAGGCGTGCCATCAAAAGGCGTGCCATCAAAAGGCGTGCCATCAAAAGGCGTGCCATCAAAAGGCGTGCCATCAAAAGGCGTGCCATCAAAAGGCGTGCCATCAAAAGGCGTGCCATCAAAAGGCGTGCCATCAAAAGGCGTGCCATCAAAAGGCGTGCCATCAAAAGGCGTGCCATCAAAAGGCGTGCCC